AGTGTGGTTTCTATATGGTTACTCAAAGCCTCAACACATGTAGAGTCACCAACAATGGTGACGTTAGTGTGGTTTCCATAAGGTTACTCAAAGCCTCAATACATATAGAGTCACCAACATGGGTGACATCAGTGTGGCTTCCATAAGGTTACTCCAAGCCTGAACTCATGTAGAGTCACCAACAAGGGTGACATCAGTGTAGATCCCATAAGGTTACTCAAAGTCTCAACACATACAGAGTAACCAAATATATGGCATTAGTGTGGTTTCAATATGGTTACTCAAAGCCTCAACACATGTAGAGTCACCAACAATGGTGACGTTAGTGTGGTTTCCATAAGGTTACTCAAAGCCTCAATACATATAGAGTCACCAACATGGGTGACATCAGTGTGGCTTCCATAAGGTTACTCCAAGCCTGAACTCATGTAGAGTCACCAACAAGGGTGACATTAGTGTGGTTCCCATAAGGTTACTCAAAGCATTAACACATAAAGAGTAACCAAAATATGATGGCATTAGTGTGGTTTCAATATGGTTACTCAAAGCCTCAACACATGTAGAGCCACCAACACGGGTGACATTAGTGTGGTTTCCATAAGGTTACTCAAAGCCTCAACACATATAGAGTCACCAACATGGGTGACATCAGTGTGGCTTCCATAAGGTTACTCCAAGCCTGAACTCATGTAGAGTCACCAACAAGGGTGACATTAGTGTGGTTCCCATAAGGTTACTCAAAGCATTAACACATAAAGAGTAACCAAAATATGATGGCATTAGTGTGGTTTCAATATGGTTACTCAAAGCCTCAACACATGTAGAGCCACCAACACGGGTGACATTAGCGTGGTTTCCATAAGGTTACTCAAAGCCTCAACACATATAGATTCACCAACATGGGTAACATCAGTGTGGTTTCTATGTGGTTACTCAAAGCCTCAACAAATGTAGAGTCACCAACAAGGGTGACATTAGTGTGGTTTCCATAAGGTTACCCAAAGCCTCAAGACATGTAGATTCACCAACAGGGGTGACATTAGTGTGGTTTCCATAAGATTACCCAAAGCTTCAAGACATGTAGAGTCACCAACAAGGGTGACATCAGTGTAGTTCCCATAAGGTTACTCAAAGCCTCAACACATACAGAGTAACCAAAATATGTGGCATTAGTGTGGTTCCCATAAGGTTACCCAAAGCCTCAAGACATACAGAGGAACCAAAATATGTGGCATTAGTGTGGTTCCCATAAGGTTACTCAAAGCCTCAATACATATAGAGTCACCAACATGGGTGGCATCAGTGTGGTTTCCATAAGGTTACCCAAAGCCTCAAGACATGTAGAGTCACCAACATGGGTGACATCAGTGTGGTTTCCATACGGTTACCCAAAGCCTCAACACATATAGACTCACCAACACGGGTGACATCAGTGTGGTTTCCACAATGTTACTCAAAGCCTCAACACATGTAGAGCCACCAAAAGGGTGACATTAGTGTGGTTTCCATAAGGTTACTCAAAGCCTCAACACATATAGAATCACCAACATGGGTGACATTAGTGTGGTTTCCATAAGGTTACCCAAAGCCTCCCACCCGCGTAGTGTTCCCAAGATCAGAAGATTCGGTGGAGAATTTCTTAAAGTCATTGCTAATCTGCACATGTAAAGTCGTAAAGATGAGAATTATTATTGAGATTTCTACATGGTTACTAAGACCGCTAGATGCGTATGTTCTCCAAGATGATAGAGATTTTGATGAGATTTGAATAAGGTCACTAGTACAAGATGAACGGCATTAGTTGTATTTCAATCAGGTTACTGTGGGCTTTTGTACATTTAAGGTCGCCAGACGATGTGAATTTGGTGGGGTTTCATAAGATCACTACAAAATTCTGCTTTTTGTAAGCAGTATCTAGTTTCTTCCACTGGTTTCGAGCCAAACCATTCACCAGTTGACATTGTTAAGTAAAGACAGAGAAAACGTCTTCAACGAAAGATACCCATTTTTCCTCCCGATGACTTATTAGGGACTGTGTACAAAACAGTATTGATTGTTAGGAATAGTTCTTTAATTTTAGGATTTTTTTTTACCTAGACAACTGGTTTGCTGTTTACACGTGTAATGTTTACGTATATATTCTGGCGTCGCTTTATACAGATTTAAGATAAGATTACATTGTATCTGTTTAACTAACTGCTGCACATTTGATACAGTTGATATAAATAACGTCATGGCGTTGTTAATCAGCGAGGATAGGGGAAAACCTGAAACACGTAAACTCAAAACACGGGCTAGTGAAGGACTTAAATAACAGACCTATCTCATGTTTTAATCTTTATTGCCTAAATAGAAAGGGTAGAAACAGAAAGAAAAGTAATATTTAGGATATGAATGCCAATTTACACTAATGAGTTTAATAACTTTTTATTATATGAATACATGTCGCTTATAAAATAATTTTTTCTCGTCGTCTCCAGACTAACATTATAAACCTATACCTGTCACACACACACATATATATAAATATAGAGAGAAGGGGAAAAATAGAGAGAGTAAAAAAAAAAGAAGAAAAACCTTTTGAATCCATTAGATACGTATATTTACATTTTATTGCCACCAGTAGAGAATTAATTGCAATTGTTTTTTTCCTTTGTGTAGGTGTGTGTGTGTTTGTGTTTTAC